CAATATTCAATACCCTTCATGATGCTCAGGTGCATTACATAGAAAAGGTTTCCATGTATATGTAGTAATTGTACTCATGTGAAACTAGACTTAGTGAAATATTTATGCATAGATGAGGCAGGCTTTTGAATTAATTTTGACTGATACACATCAATTGTACAACAACTCATCTGACTCGAGTTATTATCTGTATTTTTAAGATTTGTCTTGACATCAAACACCAATTTAGCTGTTTTTCCTTTGCCTCAATGGGGAACTAGAAGTTTCACATTTTGAATAAACAGAGGAAACCATCTTGTGCCCGTGATGTTATGTTGAGCCACCCAACCAGTCTTGAATGAATCTCAGCTGTCTATCAATACACCGTATCCCATTTTTACAGCATCAAATAACTAATTCAAATCAAACTTAGAATAAAAGACATGAACATAGGTCTGTTTTATATAAATTGCCAAAAATGACAGAAACCACTGTGATTGCTTAATTTGTCCCATCTCCCACCCACTAACATTGAGGGGTTGGTGTTTTTACGGGCATCCAGCAGGGCGAGATCAAGATGACTTGGCTTTTTTTTTTCTAGCTGAACTTGAATACAGTCAATGGCAATTATGCCATATAGTGACAAATTCTAAAAGGCAGCATACCAATATGGATTATATATCTGTAAAAATCCTATTTAATTTGGTGACAAAGGTCAAAGCCTAGATGCTAAATATCAACTCTGTACATATTCATTCACAAAAAAGTCACGTGACTGTTGGACTGGGTTTGGTTTCATTTGAAGCAGCTAATGATGGCTGGCAAAATTAATTTTTTATTTGACTTTTTCACTGTAAATGGAAAAAGGTTGTTATGAGAGAGATGATAACAAACCAAAACAATTAAGTAGTTGGCCAGACAGCTGAATGTTGAACAAAACACTGGCTTACCAGACTTACATTTTCAGACACTTTTCGGTTTTTACATAATTGTCACAGGATTATGACATACAACATCTGCTGGTGAAAATACAGATGGTAATTTTTAAATATTTATTTTATGCTTGGTATTACTGCATTCAGGTAAGAAACACGATGTATGACCATCTTTAAATGTAGAAAGAAACTTGTCTGTCTTAGTTTTTTGCTGTGATGAGCTAATCTGCTCTTATTTACATTTACATTTGAACTGATAGGTCTTCTTCGAGGAATGGAAAATACACCACCCAGTGGTTAGATTACAATACACCACTATTACAAGGATCTGATATATACACCATGAA